AAATCTGATTTTTCCACAGAAAAAAATGTATTCAAGGAGGAAAAGGTTTTTCTATACTTAATCTTGACTGAAAAATTGATTGGAAATAGTCTGACGTCGATAAAAAATTATTTAGAGTATTTTTTGTTTCGAGCATTTTCAGCATTCTTCTTCATATGTTTTATTTTCGATTGGTTCGATTTGTTAAAGACATGATTTTCTCAATGTTGATCGCTGAGTATCGTAAAAAGATGCAGAAGGCAATACTAATAAGGTCAATAAAGGGATGGACACAATAGAGGACCCCCGACGATAGAAGACCCTCCCCCCTATTACAAGACCCCTCTTGAACTCATAACGCAAAAAGCACGTTAGAAGACCCCCTTCTTTTATCGATTTTTTGACCTAAAATATGTTGATTTTGAGGTTCAACCAAATATTAATTTTTGCATTCGTCTTTTTCCTCAGCTGTTATTAGAGTGAATATACAACTGCTAGACAAAAAGAAGTGTGTGCGTACACAGCTTTGTACACAGTGACTCTCGATCAAGCGATTTCAGCTCAAAATCGGCTTTTTTTAGGGATGCTTTAGAAGGCCCCCTTGAAACCAGCGCTAGGACGCGATATAAGACCCGGGTCCTCTATTGTGTCCATCCCTTTAGTAAATCATTCATGATAATACTATTAAGGTATCAATTGCAAGAGAAAAATTGCTGACTGTTATACAGAATTAATAGTCAAGGGGCCGTGTGATGCACAATGAGCCTCACCTTATCCGTGTAAAGTCTGTAAAGACGGTTAGGAAAGAAAAAGTCGTCCAGCAGTTCAGTAAATACATAAGAATTTCATAGTATGTTTGAAACTACAGTAAAAATTTCGTATTGGTACCTCAATTGCAAGTACTCATTTGGCCATGGACAACTTTGTACGTACCCAATCGGCCAGGTGATGTAAGACCACGGAGTTCAGTTTGCATCTCTAGAAGCTAATTCTTTCACATTCGGATAGAGCACGTCGAATTACATATAGACAAAGTATTTCCAGCCATTTGGCACCATTTTGGCACCCGTCCTTTTTGGAAATACTACCTGTCAAGCAGTAGTAGTGTGGAAAATAGCATTTTTCTCTCAGTTTCTAGTGAAATTTCAAGAAAAATCAACGAAAAGTTCAAAATCAATTTTGATCTTTTCAAAAGAAAAATGAGTCGAAACGGTGCCAATGACATGAAACATTCTACATATAGACAAAATATTTCCAGCCCTCCAAAACACAATTGAACCGAGATAATAGGGCCAAGACCAAAAATTGTCATGGTCACCATTCAACGAGGAAACATTTTTATGAGCTGCGGTTGTGATATTCGTGATCACCGTGCTCGAACCTATAGGAATAGACATTATTTTTATTAAAAAGTGGAAAAAAATTTTCGAAGTCCCTGAGACCCTATTTGCCTTAAAAATTTTCGGAAATTTTTTTTGTCGAATTTCAAAAATGTAAAACGACAGTTTTGTTCAGAATTCGATGCTGATCCCGAAAATGTATAATTCATGCCAATTTATTTTAGGACGAAAAGTTACCATTTTGGCACCCGTCCTTTAACGTGATCCGATAAGACAGTCTTAATCCGTTTCTTTCTTTCTTTGTTGTTATGTTATCTGTTTGTACATCGCTTATTTCTTTATTTGTCTATCTTATCATATGTTGCATGTTATTTATCATAATCCAGGTTAAATAATCGCAATGTATCTTTTGGTATCCTTTGATTACTGATGAATAATATTTCTTACACTCTTCCAATTCCATTTGGCACAAAAGAACGCTATGAAATGCAAAATACGCTGATTATTTTATCGAGTGAGCTTTCTTAAAACAGAAACACTTATATTCATGTCTGGAAAAAATAGCACAGTCTTCAACTTCAATCTGACAAACGAAGCCAACTTGATTAGGCCTCAATCCGCAAAACCTCGTCGGGATAGGTAGGAAGACGAAATTCTAGAAAACACCTGCACAATTTAGGTTCAAAACGCTACGCAAATATACAAAATTAGTCAGCAACTAATTCTCCTTCTTAATTACTCTGCTTCAACTTGATTTTTATACAGTCAGCACATGGCGGTCACTTCTGCACACAGGACGAGCTTCTGCTCTCATAGCAGATAAAATGAGAGGGATAATGGTAGTAGAGTCTCTCACTAACTCTTCAAAATAGTCAGTTTCTCATGCAGTTTCTCAATGCCTCGTTCAGACTCGTGCATGCCTTGATGCTTGGATCTCTTCGCAATTTCATAGGCTACAGTCACATTTTCTAGTGCTTTCCAGTAGTTCTCTTGAGCTACATACACTCGTCCAATGTTCCAGTATGTCACTGTCAGAAAAGGATGTGCTGGTAGTAATGAACTCAGACGTATCTCCAGTGTCATTTGCATATATTTCAGTGCTTGTGCATAGTTATTTCTGTCATAATGCGCACCACCAATGTTGTTATATGTAGTCGCCAATGATGGATGATTCGCAGGAAGAACTGTTTGTTCAATATTCAAGCACTGTCGAAAGTATTCTAGAGCCTTGTCATACTCCTTCTTCTCTCTGTGCGGTTCCCCAATGCTGTTGTACGTTGTCGCAAGATCTGGATGATCTGACGAAAGAGATTTCTCTTGTATTTTCAATACCTTTTCCATGTTCATCAGTGCCTGATCCAAATGACCCTCTGCTCTGTACACATTTCCAATGTTGCTATATGTTGTGGCTAGTAATGGTGAATCTACATGCAAGGATTTCACTGTCATCTCCAGACATTTGTTGTAATAAACTAATGCCTGATCATTGTTGCCTCTTTCTCGATAACTCAATCCAAGATTGTTATAAATAGTTGCAACATCACGATCATTCTCACAACTAATCTCGAGCATCATCAGATAAAACTCTTCTGCTTTCTCATATTCACCCATCTGCATCAGTAATCTTCCCAATGTGAACAAATCGTTCGTACCTTGTATTTCCTTCTTCATGTGATCTGTGAGTCGTCTCAGTTCGACGTCTTCGTCACCATTCAGAATCAGCTTCACACTCCATATACCACCACCGAGCTTGTCAACTGATGATATCCGAAACACTGTGCCCATCGAGAACAGAATCTCTGCTTCTGTCTTGAAGTAACTCACCTTCTCGATGTTATGAAATGGTCGGGCACATCGTGTGATGTCGATCGTCATCTCGAACAGAACTGCTTGCATATGTGAATGATTGAGTGCTTGATGAGCGAATCTCAATGCCACTTCACGACTACTCGATGTTGACAAGAAACTGTTCATTGACAAGAAACCACCCACATTCTGACGAAGTTTGTCGAACTCGTCTGTCGTCATTCGTTGACCACGATAGACGATGAGCATGTCATCTCTGACGCTGTTCGAGTGCAGATGAGCGAGCTGAGAGTGAAGATGATTGATGAAGAAGCGAAGCTTGAAGAGAATGTCAATGTCGCACACTCTCAGTGCCTGGTTGAGCATGCGATAGAGGAAACACTCACGCGTGTACCACCAAATGGCTGTCTCAGCCGAGTACTCATCATCGAATTCAGTGATGATCTGCAGTTCACTCTCATTGCCAGCATATTGTTGTCGACATGCATCCACCATCTCTTGTTTGCCATTGCCATGTGTGTCATCCATGCGAAGGAGAATGTCGATGAGGAGCTGAAAGTACATGAATGAGGCTTCTTGTTTGTTGGATGATGAGTTGTTGTTGCAGATGACGCTCATCGAGAGATCATCATTCGACGATGCAGTCACATCTTTACTTAGTTGCACACAGATGGAGTCGATGTCGGTGTGGACACCCTTCACTTTGTCATAGTTGTTTGTCCATTGTTGATGATAGTTCTTATTTGAACAGAAGACGTAGATGGATTCGACTTGTGTCATTTGATGGATGAGAGGGACGATGTGTTGACCGAGAGCACCAGAGACGATGAGAAAGAGTTTGGTTGCAGCGCGAGAAGTGATATAGTCAGCACATTGATTGAGATCATCGAATGTTCTTAGATAGTTGATGGATCGTCGTATTTGAGCTTGTGCTTTGATGTTGTCATTGGTTTTGTCAACGTTTGCATCTAGCCAGATGACGGTGTTTGCTTCTAGATTTCGTTCATCTGATAATCGTCGTGAAATTGCGGTGTCTGTTGGATTGTTGAGGGTAGAGTGAGAGAATTGTTTTGGATGCTTGTTTGGCATGGCTCGTACTATCCGCTTCTTTGTTTTCGTATTTGTACGGTACAACTAAGCATGTTTAATAATAACGTTCACATAAATGAATGGAAACACAGTGCGTTTTATTTTAAGAAGAAAAATTTTGAAGATTTGGAAGTAGCAGCAGCCATGTAAAGGTGTATGTAGAAGTTAAGCGCTACTGCGCAACGGAGAGAAACATTGTTGTCATTTCTGTGCAACACACTATTCAAGTGAAAACCAAACATTGTTGTGTTCTGTTTCCATGTCTGTGCTATAAAGTAACAATGAATTCATCAGAAAGAGAATGAACTTCTTGTTATTGGTAGCGAGAGTGTATGCAATAAACACAAATCGCATTTAAATGAAAGATGATTTTTATGCCGCTAGTTACACAATCAAGATTAATACTTTAAATTTACCTGTACAATTATACAGTTTGTACAGTGTCAAAAAGATGTTTGATCATGGAATTCTCAGACTTGTTGATTATAATCAATGATTTTAAACCATTCCTCGGTATAACAGGCTATCCTGGAAAGGACTGTCTATTGCTCGATTGTCATGTACACTGTAAAGAACCACCTTTTGAATCTCAGTGTAAGAAGGTGATCTTTGTAGCACATTCAGCAACAACATTTCTGCTGTTTTACGATGACAAAACTGCGCTTCCGATCCACATTATATATCGAGAGAAAGCTGTTTAAAGTTCTTCAAAATACTTTGTAATTCATTCCCAGTTGAGAGTGAACGGCAATATTTTCTTTCAATCGATGAAGCTTCTAGTGTATGTGGACGAGATCCTGGGCTATCTGCATCACTCCTTGCATGTCTTTAAGGAACTATGGCACATGACGTAGCTAACTGCCCAACTCCGATTTCTATACTATATACTGTTCTCGTGATAACCCTAAAAGGGAGTGTAGGGCTGTTCTTTCAAAAGTTAACAATTCTTCTATTTTCCCGGTCTAGAGTCTTGCCTATATTAAAAAAGTTTATAACTCAGTTAGAAAGCATACCCTAGACAAAATCCTACTCACTTCCTGTCTATTTCCTGCTAGGATCTTACAGGATCCTGACATTTAGGGTCTACCTAATAATTTCCTAGCAGGATCCTAAAATGCTCGGACTCCTCCAGGATTTCGCTCTACTTTGTTTAGGATCCCAACAGAATCTTAGGGAACGTTTCAAAATGTATTCCGGTCGGTCGGTCGCTATTCCTCTATTCCGCTGAACTTGAACTTGATTTTATTTTATAAACAAAGCAGACTTTACAGAAAAAGAGCTGCTGTAGGAAAGCAGAAAAAGTAAAAAATACTTATACACACTGCCACCTGGAGTAACAACACCACAAGAGAGAGAATACACGCTTATATCTATAGATACGCTCTTTTTACAGAGTAGAGTACAGAAATAAAAACAAACCCACAGAAAACGCCTTAAAATTGCAAATGATTTTTGAGCGTCGCTTTGAACTGACCTAGAGTACGTACCACTACAACCGTTTCTGGTAAGGCGTTCCAACCGTCGGCAGTCTGATAGAAAAAAGCTGACGCTACCCGTTTTTTTGTAAGAGTCGATGTCGCGACTGGCTTCGTGTTTGCCGTTACGTGTTTTAAAACCGTACCTGTATTCAAACGCTCTGTTCTACGATCCGCCAGTGCTGTTATAGAGGGCGGATCAAAAACTGAAAGCGGCGGTAACTTGTTCATTACTTTATAGAAATGAATCAAACGAAAATATTTTCTTCTCAACGACAAATCGGGGAGCTTTAGTTTTTGAATTAACTCTGACACCGATCCGTCGAATTTTTTGAAAATCATGCTGTTCCCCTAGTCCTCTATTCCCCGACTATTCCTCTCTTATTCCTCTGTCATTCCTTTATTCCGCTCTTCCTCTATTCCTCAATTATTCCTCTTCTCAAAACAACTCTCTGGAAGTCGCGCAAGGAAAAACTTGCTTTTTTAAACAATAATTAACCATATTCACAGTCATATTTCTCAAAGACTAAAAGGGATCCTTTTCTAAAAAATAGACCACCATAGTGTACAACTCGTGCACTTTAAACTAGCATAAAAGATGGAAATGGGTCTATTCTAATTAGTGTAATGTTAGTTCGCGAAGTTGATGCAATACGAATTAAGTTTACAGTGAGCACTCGCCTCCTTGAATGTAAAAAAGATGAACATTTGATGAAAATATAAAATTTGTTACTTTCTTTAAACAGAAAAATGTCTACTCTTATAAAGATGTCTGTTAAAAAAACGAACACATTGGAAGTATATATGTGCCGATGTATGTATCAACAATACAATCAAAGAAACCGAATACAAAATAAAATAAAATAAATTAGAATTTAAATTCTATAATAGAGGAATAATTGGGGAATAGAGGAATGACAGAAGAATAAGAGAGGAATAGTCGGGGAATAGCGGAATTGCGGAATAGAGGAATAGCGACCGATCGACCGGAATACATTTTGAAACGTTCCCCTACATAGGATAAAAATGGATTTGAAAACTTACCATAATTATTATTATTATTATTATTATTTACATCGTCATCATGACTTTTACTGGAGGTCTGAAATATTAGATTGAATAATTCTGTATTTTCTAATAATGATTTTAAACTATCTGTTGGAAAGTTTTTTGTTGTTTGTGCCACTGAACTCTGTGGAAACATTCTGTATATATTCTCAGTACTTTCACTCAAAACTAGATCACGTTTTATGTAATTTGTCAGTTCAGAAATGTTGTAAACATACAAAACGATTTTCTTTTTTCATACGTATATCTGTAGATGTAATTCTGTGTTTCTATTTAAACATGTTATTTCGCTTTTCTCTCATTTTTTTTCCAGTTAAGAAAGAAAAAAATCTAATGGTCTATACACTTTTTCTTTTTATCAGACGCAAAATAATTTTTTTCTCTCCTTTACTGATGTAAACATGTACGTACGTTTTTAGATGTTCTATATATCTAGAGCAACCTTTTGCCTTTCATGTTTTTTCTTATCTATTACTCACTCTTTGGTTCGCTAAGTACATTTTTATATAATCGTTATTGATATACTTGTGTACTTATTTAAACTTCTTGTTTTAGAGATGTGACATTCCTCATGGTAATACCATTAGTGTCACTTGGTGCACGTTAATAGAGAATTATATACATATTCGAATTAAGAGAGAAAAATTCAGAAAAATGAAAGAATTGTAGAAATTAATACAATAGTTAATTTAAATCGCATTTTATTAAAACTAAAGTGGCAGACAAAAGTTTAGGATCACCTTTATTTTTGAATTTTCTCGTGAAGTACAGTAGCTAGAATAAATCCGAGAACAGATTTATGTAGAGAATACCTTAGAGTATCTAAGCATGTGAGAAGAAAATTTCTATTTAAGTTTAGCAAGTTTAAAAAAGATAAAATTTTAAAAATTTAAAAACCTTAAATTTTCAACTTTTTTTAAAGTCAGTTAAAAGTAATTTTCGATCATTCAGCAAAATAGAGCAGACTTTTTCGTCAAAATGAGACGTTGTACGACTCGGTACGACCTTTTTTCAATGAGTTATTAATTTTTCTTGGAAAACACCATACAGAAAAATGCTAGAAGATCGTTAAAAACGTGCATTTTTCAGTATAAAAAAAGACGTCTGTGTATTCCGAGAAAAATTCATAATTCATTGAAGAAAGGTCGCACCGAGTCGTACAACGTCTCATTTTGACGAAAAAAGTCTACTCTATTTTGCTGAATAGTCGAAAATGACTTTTAACTGACTGTAAAAAAGTTGACAATTTAAGGCTTTTAGATTTTTAAAATTTTATCTTTTTTAAACTTGCTAAACTTAAATGGAAATCTTTTTTCTTACATGCTTAGATAGTCTAAGATATTCTCTACATAAATCTGTTCTCGACTTTATTCTAGCTACTTTAAGTTCACGAGAAAACTCCAAAATAAAAGTGATCCTAAACTTTTGTTTGCCGCTTTAGTTCGACGTTTCAACAATATATATCAACTCCAGGCTTATGTTTATATCTCTCCTGGCACATATTGATTCTGATAATGACAAATATGTTGTCGAAACGTCGAACTAGATAATTTTAATAAAATGCGATTTAAATTAGCCGCTGTATTAAGTTCTACAATTCTGAATCTATTGCCCGTTAATCGTGAACATGTGTCAGAAAAATGAGCTGATTGGATCGAGAAATCTTATATTGTATGTATATAATTCTTCTTCATTTGTGAACTTGAGCTCGGCACACGATCATATTTAATGTGTATTTTTTGCATGATTGACAAGATTTTTATGAAATTTTCTTAGTGATATTTTGATGAGATCACGATTACAACTTGTTGTATGAACATACATTATTTCAGTTTATTGTGGTGATGTGTGTTTTACTATTAGTCGAATTACATGTATGTATACGATAATGATAATTAAAAGTTTTATGATCTTCGCCACGTATAAGTTTTAAATAAATTTTCTCGTTCGTTTGACGACCTTGGATGTACGAATAATCGTCTAATATCATTGAAGGACAGCGTTATGTGGTAGCGTTGAATTCGACCGGAGTAGACATGTTTGAATATAATTGCTAATGAGTAATTCCGATAGAGAGTACTACTGCTTCGACGCTTCATGATTGAGACCACTTTTTTGTGATGATTATTAATCAAATTTAAAAAGTGGTCTCAATTTGGAATGCATGTATTCTCTCGTTTCTTATAAGTTTTATTCGAATCCAATTAAGTTTTGGAGGAGAAATTCTCAAAATACTAAGAAAACCGAGAAAACAAAAAATTTGCATCACTCTGAGAAAACTTGAGATTTTGCCCCCTTCCGTTCACAATTTTTTGAATTTGATATATTCGGATTCTCCATCAAAAACTGAGTCTAATCGTGTACCTTTGAATCATATTTATATTGCATAGTAACTGACTTCTGGTAGAGAAAATCGAGATTTATAGACAATCTTTTCAACAAATCCGGGATGATTTTTATATTATTGGATATCACGGGTTTTACTGTTCCGATTATCTGAGACACTACATTTCTTTGACGGGCAGAGATTATCAAAATAAGTTGACCGGTTGGATAACATCGCCGTTTTTCGGATATTTTGGATAACCTTTCTTTCTTTCGATATCTCGTATCATCCTCGACCAATCGTTTTTGGATTATCCCGGCTGATCAGTTTTATTAATTGACTGATTTATTACTTATTTATTAATCACTCAACATTTCTGATGAGTCTTCAGACCCACCAAACAATCTCTTTTAATTTTCTAGGATAGGTAGTAAGAAAAGAACCACTTCGAAAAAAAGTTTTGAAGTTTTGATCGTAAGAAGCTTGTTTTTATGTATTACAATTTCGAACAGAATTCCCATAGTTTCAAATTTTTCGATAAGTCATAGTTAACTCATTCCAGACTATCGAAAAACGGGCAATCAAGGATTCTACTGCATTGGGTCATCCACGATGATCCCGACTCTACTCAATGGGTAGTCGAACCATCCGGGTGGATCAAAAAACTCGTCCAAAACGTCTAGGAAAAAGACGAGTCAGAATCATAACCGTATTTTCGGACAGTCTGAATACTTTTTTCCAATCCGTGGACAGGGTCGAATGGTTCAAAAAATTTTTTTGCTACCGTCGGATCATCTGGAATGGTCCAAAATCGAAACAACTTTTGACTGAGTTCTGTAGCAACTTTTTTCAAAAAAATATAGATTTTGACTTTCAACATACTTTCTTGCTCAGGAGCAACTGCGAAACTATCGGTACTGTTTATCAGCTGATTGTCTGTTAATAGATTATAAGTTTGTACATTTTGAAGGGTTGTTGATGGTCGTACCATTGAATATATTACATTATATATTGCTGATAATGATTCCGATAACAAAATAGCAGCTGTCAATTAGTTAAGTAAATGAATAATCATAATAGTCTTCAAGGAGACAAAATTAAAAACCTTGGCCTGCTATAAAGTCGGAAAAACTGATGAAAACTACTTTTTAATTATTCGTACGACATAAGAAACCAGAAGCACTTTAGAGAATCGATAAATCTTTTCCAATCCACTTTCATATACATTAATACCGTTTTGTGAAGATCCAAGTTTGAAACGCCTACTTTTTCTTTGAAGCAGAATTATAAACCTTCAGTTTTGCAGAACCTCAAAGTTGTTTATAGCGTTTTTTAATGTTCAAAAAAACTTTAGAACAGAACACTACCTTGATGTTTTATCGTCAGCATCGTTTTCTATTCAGGGATGATCTCCTACTCCAGAATGATTGATTGTTCGAGAGAGAAGATTATCGAATCTGATTTACTTTTCGTTGAAAATTAGCCTGGTCAGGGAAATTATTTGTTTGAAGAATACTTCATTTCAGCAATCGAAACAAACGCTCTGAATTTAGTAACAATAGTTCAATAAGCACGCAAAGGTACAAGATAAATTAGAGTAGCTTACACAATAAATACCTCTCAGCTCTCCTTTTTGATTCTAATATCCTTCTCTTTAGTATTTGCTTTTCGCGAATGTATGCAAGAAAGTCGATAACATTTCTGAAATCATTAGCAAAAACCCATCAGTGTACAAGCTTTTGTCTATATTGTTAGATTAATTGAAAGTATACCTGTCTTTTTTTCTAAAAAATGATACAATATATTTGTTATTGAACATACCTGGTGTATCAATTGTAAATAAATTATCGGAATCAGATAGCAGGTTTTCGGTATAAGGTTGACGCCAATCACTACGTAAAAAATCATGTATATCAGGTGCTGGTTGATTTTGAGCTAAAAGATCGACAACTATGTCTTTCCATCACTTGAGCAACACAGCAAGCGTGAAGAAACCTGTATATAAATAAGTTTCTGTAGCGTACAAAATGATGAATCCTTTGATCGACGTATCAAAAAAAAATGTTTACGAAGTAAGATAGATTTTTTTATAAAACTCGGTATTCAGACTTTTTTCTACATTAAATTTTGGTTTTTTTTGAAAAAAGTTAACTTTCTCGAAGAACAGCAATATCTTGAAGATCAGTAAGCTTTTTACTGAACTGGTGCAGTTTTCGTTCAACCTGAGAATTTTTAAAAAATACATATTTATTTGGTCATAGAAAAACGTTTCTCGGTTGAGCGTAGCCATGTAAGGAACAAAAAGAGTCGATATTACTCAAATACCAAATAATTTCTAAGTCAAAGCAAAAATGAGGTTTAAGCTTATTAAGTTCTTGAAGTATATCTTCTTTTGGAGTGTGGTTCATTTTTAACATTTCTGATTTTAGTTCTCGAATCCAATCATGTAATTGTTTTATGGTGTCGCGGCGTTATACCAATCGTACTTCTGCCAATGGCACTTATGCCAGTGGATATAAAAAAAAATGTTTACACCAATATTGGTATAAACGAAAAATACTTACACCATTGGTGTAAGAGTTGAAAAAACAGAAGGTATTGTCGTAAGTACACTAATACCTTCGACTGTGTGACTGATCACAGCGAAACTATTTGATATATAAGTTGTTCCGACTCCATGCAGTGAAAAATCGATGCAGTACAATATATCAAATATTTTACAGTATTTAGAAAAAAACAGTTGACTTGCTGCTGAACTGATTAGATTGGTGTAAGAAAACGAATTTTTATGCCAATTATATAACTCCTGTTTTATATACCAATATTGGTATAAAAAATCAGTGTTTTTGCCAACATTGGTGTAAAAGTTTTTTTTAATATCTATTGGCATAAAATCGACACACTTATACCATTGGCAGAACTACGATTGATATAACGCCACGATTTCTGTTTTATTTTTTGAATACCACAATCAGTTAACGTTACTGTATCTTGAAAATCTTGATTATCTTCAAATTCTTTTATGTAACGTTCCAACGTTATTTTATAGTCACGAATTAATAAATCATTAAATTCTTGTAGTTCATTTATATCTGGTGCTGATGAAGTTTTCATCCAAGATTCTATAGTTCGTACTGCCGTTTTAAGATATTTACCAGAAATCAATAATTTTTTCCTTTCCAAACATATTAATAAATTTTTTACATGTATATTATCACGTACAGCATCTAGAAAAATTCAGTTTTATTGACAAGGGTAGCTAACTGTCTCCGCGAAACATCTGCAATAGCAGTATTCGAAAACTATTTCTTTTCACAAGGCAGCATCGTTACTTTGGCCTTGACTGAAGATAAGACCAATAGTGGAGATCTGTGGGTTCCAGTTGCCAATCGAAAGTTTTTTGGCTGACTCGTTCGAAAAACTTTTTGAGCAAATTTTAGTTCGTCTTAAGCGCTTTTAAATAGAGAATGTATTAATAATAGGAAGATTTAATTTATTTAGTTGTGGAGCCGTTACATTTTCTGACGATCTGAAAAGCGTGACATTGATTTGATCGTTATTCCTTAGTTTTGAACAAAGAAGACTCAATATTTTTAATTTTCTGTCACAATCGATCAAGGAAATTTCGAGCTCTTATAACTGAAACTATTCGAAAAATTTTCCTAGTTTCAACACAAAAAAAGTTTTAGACATGCCATTAACGTTCACTCTGAAATGTCTAATAGAATCTCAAATGGGTGCACCGCACTTTGTTGAATGCGGGGGCGGCGAAACGTTTTCAAATCAGGTAAGGCTTAGTATAAGGTTATTGGTTACGCCTCAAAACTTTTATATATTATACGTTGACATAGACTAAAATAAGTTCAGTTAATAAGTCGCTTTAGATTATTCAATTATT